AGTCTGGTTTATGTATGAGATTGTATAATATTCTTTTTATATTTTTCCATGTAGTTCATTATCTATTTGAACCCACACCTGTTGTAGAATTGTGTATAACTGTCCTGTGCAACAGGTGGCTGTGTCGATGGAACTGTATGAATGATAGTTGATCAGTAGTGAGCCATATTTATTCAAAAAGATATCACTACATATTACTTTGCTTATTACAATTGCACTATGGATTATTCTTCCTTTGTTTCCTGATGATGTACAGAATCAGAATCTTAAATCTTTCAAGGAAAATAAGACAAGTTGAATTGGCCCAGTTATCCAGTTTAATTTGTCCTTTTTTGTAGCCTTTGCTATGCACGGTACTTGTAAAACGTACATAACTTCTGAGTATTATGTTAGACTTGCTGAAATCTTATATTCAGTACCATTTCTAAATGATAATGATTATAGAATGGTTGTTAGTGTTCATGTTTTATAGGAAACTGGAAAAGAATATATATGATATACTCTGGAATTTTTAGATGAAAGAGAGAATGTCTCTTAATTCCTGCGTATGATCCTACTGACTGCTCAAACTGTAATAGCATCTGACTATATCACAATTAAGGGCCTTCCAGTTTTTACTGCAATTTCTGCCTTGGAGAAAGAAGAGGAAAAATTGGCTGTACAAAACTGTGGAGTTTATGACTCTTATAAAAAGACTAATTTCAGTAGCCTGGCTTTGGGCACACTGTGCCCTTCAGTTGTACATTCTGTGAATTCTGAAGCTCCTCTGCTGAGGGCAGGCGGGGCTGCCTTCAGAGGCCTGTGGTAAATCTACCTCTCGGTGATGTGATGACAGGGAAGGTTTGGATTGACAGTTAATGCCCAGTTTTGCACCCCTGGTAAGGCCAGGCCCACTTTAAGATGTCTGCAAGGTACACCTTGAAATGCATCCTGAGCAAATGGGGCAATCCTGTAAGTTGGCTCTGAAGTCTGTAGGGAGGGGAAGACACTGCGGGGGGTTGAACCCTCCCACCCTGCCCCTCATCTGGCTGGTTCAACCCTTTCAACTGCTCGGAAAAAAGAGATCCTTAATCATTACTGCAAAGGGAGTTCAGTTGAGAAACAAATCCCTGACCTCTTGGAATGCCTTATGCAGCTGTGGATCTGCAGGAAACACTGATAGGAACAGTTTACCTGGCTTTGTGTTTTAGGGCACTACAATACAAATCTACTGAAACACAAAGGACTTTGTATTTTAGTGGCGGTTTTGGCAGGGCTCGAGTTAATGGTGTCCAAGTGCTCTGTGTCCAGATCCAGTCACCAGAGAATTTGCATCAGATGAAGATGGGAAAACTAGATATTTTCAGATGTGTAATTTTTTTTTGTATACCTCTATGTTAATTTTGATTTTTAAGTGTGGTTTAAAATGACAGGAATATGTCAGTTGTGTTTTTTTTTTTTTTTTTCTCTAGCATTGTTTAGCCCTTAACCAGAATGGCTTCCATACTGATCAAAAGGGAACGATGTAGTTATTATGTTATTTGAAGTTGCCAATGAATTGTTGAGATTTCTTTTTCTGATGAGGCACTCAGGTTTGGAGTTAGTCAGAACTGTTCGTCAGTATGAAGTGAGGAACTGAATTTTCCCATGGACTTTTCCCAGAACATGATTTAAAAGGCAAAGTCAAGTAGCTCTTAATACAGGCTTACAGTATATACTGTAGAGGGTTTAAGGAAGCTGTGCACTACAAATATTTAAAAATATTGGTAATAGACTTTGTGCACAAATTATTGCTTAGAAATTCCATAATTCCAACGTTAAACTCGGTGATACAGCTAGATTTAGGGCATTTCATCTGTCTTCTACAATTCTCACCATAGTAAGAATGGAATTCCACAATGGTCTGCAAAGAACGTGTGGCTTGTCTGCCTGGTGTGGTGAGAAGCCTGTCAGACCTGGAGTTCAGCCTTAATTTTGAATCATTTGATTTACAAAATTAGTCCAGAGTTAAGTAAAAGCATATACTGCAGAATGTTGTAATTTGGTGGTTCATTTTGTTTCTTAAAAGTCTGGAGAATCAGATGTTTATCTTGCACATCAGGAATTTTGTTTGCTTGATGAGAATCCAAGATTTTTATTCTTTACCTGAGTTTAAAGAAAATCTTACACAGGAAGTGAAAGTTTACTCCTTTGTCCACATGGACTCATTGCTAATGAATTGCCAAAGGAGCATTTTTTCCAAAATTAGATGTGTATTATATTAAGCAAGGTAATGTCCTTTTTAGCTGTACAATGAAGAGAAAGAAATATTTAAAGTTGACTCAACCTCAGTTTAAACAAGGATTTTAATTTCAGTAATCCAGTAGGCTGGATTGCAATAATATAGATGGTCTTTTGGGGGGAAAAATATACTTAAAGATCTGATCAACTACTAGCAATACTTCAATGTCTGCCTGGCAGTCAAGTGGCACAATGAAGATGAATCAGTAATTCCAATGTGTTCCATTCTAATGAGGGGATTTGTCACAAACCATTCACTACAGGTAATTTCTTGCACTAGCTACTTAAGCCTGGGCTCTCTTTGAGAAGTACATGTATCTATTTTCAATGGTTTATTATGAGGACTGCTTACAGTTTAATTCCTTCTCTAGTAGAATACCTGGATTGTTTGAATAACGAAGGCATTGTCTCAATTTGGTTACTAAAGGTATTTAAAAGCTCTGATTTTTCCCACCTGAAGAAGTTTGTTTAAAGCTTGGGATCTGTAGTAAGAAGCCAAGAGAGTGAGAAGAGTGTCCAGTTTCAGTGGGAACACCTGTACCCTCCCCAGTCCCCCAGCTGCAGATACATTGTGAATACCTGCATTTATGGAAATTGCCATTTTCATGAAACAGAGCGGATTTAACGTTTTTTTTTTTCCTCATATCCTTGTTGATGCACTAATGAAAGCCATTTAAATGCCTCATTCTTTTTATCAGTATTTTTAGCAGATTTTTTGTAGTACTCAATCTCTTTCATGAGGAGGCTGGTTGGTAGAGAGACCTTTTTATTTTACAATTAAGCACTGTCCTAAAACGTCAGCATCATCAGGTGTCAGTGACATGGCTATTTGTGTTGGAGTTGCTGAAAGGTGGAATCCAAGTATTTTAGCCTTATAAGAAATAGCCTTAAATAAGAATGGAGTGTACAAAATTACTTCAGCTTTAAGTCACACAGAAATATCCTTGTATGTTAATGGTTTTGGTAAAAAATGGGAAGAAATCTAGAGGAGAGTCAAGCATCATATAAACTTATTGAAAATAAGTATTTGTAATACCAGCAGCCTGTTTTTCAGAAACTTGAATATGACTTACAGTTAGTTTTGTTTATGAAATTGTTTGAACTTGCACAGATGTAGGTGTAACTTAAATGATAAATGGTACTGATGTGTGTGTATATATAATGTTTAATTCTATTTGTAAATGAGAAACTATGTAACAAAATCATAGGTATGAGGTTTTCCTATTGTAATTTAATACAGGTATGAGGTTTATGGCAATATATCATAGTTAATGAAATTTCAGGTCAAAATGTCTTTAAATTGTGTACATTTTTAAATTGTAATTTCTACTGTATATTGATTATCATGCATAGTGTGATTCAAGAAACTGCTTGTAATTTAAAAATATTTAATATTAAAATAAAATACAGTTATATATTTATAATCTCTTTGTCTGTTTGTTCATTTTTAAACAGATGCCAGCAGTGAATCATGTCCACAGTGTAGTTCCACTGTAAGATATATTTATTAGAGTCCAGAGGTTGAGAAAGTACCAAAAGTTCAAAGCCACAGTCCCAGCAGATGAATCTACACTAAGTAATGTAGTCACCTTTAATTTCTTCCAATATTACCCTTGTGAGAACATTCAGGTAATGTGTGTACAGTCAGAAGAGAAGCAATAATTGAAATACAAACTGAAATTCCAAACACTGAATATTGGTTTTAATCATAGAATTTAGTATCAGTAGGAAGAATGCAGAATTCAGAATTTGTAAGTACTCTTCAGAAAACAAGTTAATGTTTTCTCAGTATTCATTGAATTTCTTTCTAGAAGATTTTCTTGGGTTTTTTCAACCCAGGTGCATGTGCTGAATGGACCAAAGAGGTAAACACAGTCCTTGTGTGTGTTGGGAGCTTCTTTCACATGAGACTGAGACTGTTTCAGCCTGGGCATGTGGTGAGGCGGGAGGAGAGTGCTGGTTTTGCTGTTCGTTCCTTTGCTGTGGAGGGCACTGGCAGCAGTCAGGGGTTAGTGGAAGCCATGGAGGAAGCCCCCACATCACGTCACAGCCCTTGAGCCCTGGCAGCTGCTGAGAGCTGGGAATGAGAGGCTGATAGCAAGATGACTTAACTTTGTTAGGTAAAATATAACTACTGGGCTGAAACTTGACCAAGGCAGCGATCGTTAATGAGAGCAGATGTAAAAGATCCCATGGCACTAAACTGATCATCCTACATAGAACCTATTATCGAAGAATTTGAGAACTTGCAACCTCTGTCAGCAGCAGCTCCCTGCAGGGGATGGCAGTGCTGTGTCTGTGGGCCGATGTCCCACAGGGGCTGAGAACTTGCTCGGCCCTTGGCAGAGCAGAGCTGGCACGGCCTTTGTGCTCCTGCAGCTGCTGCAGGGGGCACTGGACTGCCCCGTGCCTGTGGTGGCTGTGCCGGCTCGGTGCCCTCAGTGGCACAGGCGCTGCTGCAGCGCTGCCCCCCCTGCCCTGTGCCCATCCCAGACCCGGCGAGGAGCCTTGTGCCGCCCGCCGTGTCCGTGTGCAGCCCCCGGGTGTGCCGAGGGGTGGCCGGGGTGTCCCTGCCCGGTGCCTCCCCCGCCTGGCACCGCAGCTCCCGCCCGCCCTGCCGGGCCCGCCCCCGCCGCTAAAGCGACGTGTCGGGCGGCCCCGCCGGCACCTGCGGCGGGCTCAGCCTGCGGGGCTCGGGGCTTGGGGCTGTGTCAGCGCTGCCCCTGCGGCCCCCTCGGCGACAGGCGAGTCCTGCTTCCCTCGCAGGCTCCTGCTGACAGCCCCTGGCTCTGCTGAGAACCCGCAGCCTTCGCTCCCCGCTGCCCCCGCAGAGCCTCCTGCTGCTCCTGCCTCCCCGCGGGACTCCGCTGTGTTGCCCCCTGGGCCTTAAGCACGTTCTCTGCAACTGGTGCAGGGGTAAGTCACAGTGGAGGGACACCAGCTCTGATGTACGGCTGCAGAGGGTGGAAAAACGTGTTGGTATTTGGCTGCTATCACTCTTTGGTTTCTCTTGACCGCCCCAGTCTGCTGCTCCTGAACTCCTCCTCAGTCTGTTTCCTCCTTGCACACTCGGACCACCTCCCTGGGGGTCCCAGCAGCTCCTGTGGCTCCATAAGGTCTCTTCTGAGGGTTACAGCAGCGTGCAGCAATCCTTGGCCAGCTAGGTGCCTTCTTATCCCATCGTATCCCGACTGCTTCTGCTCAGTCTGCAGTTTTAAAGACTACTTTGCTCCCACAGTTTGCTGAAGCTTCCTTTCTCTTGAATTTTCTTCCACCTTTCTCTCCTGGCTGCCTCCATGAACCTCTTCTTCACCAAGTCCTATGGGCTGTTTTCCTTCCAAGCAGCAGCTCTCCCAGCAGTGCTTTGTGCTGTCCTGCAGATCGGGCCTTTTCTGCTGAGTTACACAAAGAGCCCAGAACAAATGCAGTGCTTGCCTTTTGTCATGTTTTCAAGCTGAAGATACCCGTGTGTCTCCAGCATTGCTTTGAGGCTCCCACAGCAGAGCTGCTTGGTGCTTTCTCTCAGCATTCATCACCCGGGTGCCACCCTCACCCAGCTGCTTTGTGAGTTGCTGTCACCTTTGCTAAAGCTGCTTCCCTGGTAGTAAAGAAGCTGGGGATGGGCAGGGTGCCCTCCCAGGCAGAGAGCTGAGCCCCTGCCTGCCCAGCAGCTGAGCTTGGCTCTAGAGAAACAAGAAACCAGAGGAGAAGTGGTGTTTACCACAGCACACTGGGAACTGCCACCACCTGCTCCAGCTGAGGGTGATGTCCTGTGCTGGGGCAGTCACACACCTGGGCTGAGGTTTTGCTTCTTCTTTAGTTTATTTTTTTATTGCCTCACCAACTCTCAAGCTGCTCCTGTGTAATAGTACTGGTATAAAAATATATTTCATTTAGACCAAACCTTTCTCTGACTACGTCAAGTGTAAGAGCACAGAAGGAACATTCTGAGAATGTCTCTCAGTAACCTGATGGTTGGTGTCAGAGGCAGGGTGGCTGTAAGGCTGTTGTCTTCAGATGTAGTGTGGGCACAGAATCTGGGCTGAGGGAGGGTAAAATATCAATGCAGTCATCTGCCCTGCTAATGTGGGGGAAGGAGCATTGCTGTGTCTTTTTGGATAACCTGGAAAATAACCTGCCCTGCTGCTGTTGATCTGGCAGGAACTGCAGTTAGCCCTGCACTTAATGGATTATTGTTGGAAGAGGGAAGTGCTTGTTTTTGTGTGTGTGTGGGGACTGGCCCAGAATGCAGAAATGCTGCAGCTGAAAACACGTGGCTGACTCGGAGTGTCTGAGCCTCTCCAGGAAGGGAGTGTGCCGTGTGTCCCTCTAGTGGACTGCTCAAAGCCATGGTGGGAACTGGAAACAGCAATTGCCAGGAGTACGAGCCTGAGGGTTCTGTCTAACACCCCCCACAGGCAGAGTGAAGCAGTGCATGGTTTTATTATGGTGTGGGGTATGAGCTGTGACACAACAGGAAAGTATGAGATCAAAAAGTAGAGGCAACATGTTATCAAATCTGACTGACCATTGTACTCCACAGGTGTTTGGAGTTGTGGTTCATTATTCTACAGGAAGATTGGATTAGCTTGGAGACCATTTTCTCTTATGTACAGTGAGAAAAGGGAAGTCTCTCTAATTTGAGACCTTCTAAGAAAGCAGAGGCATCTGTTTTTCACCAGTAGGTGATTTCACTGCATCTTTGTTTCTGTGGTTCCATTCACTTGTCCTCTGCTCCCTCTGTAACATCTTCCTGCCAGCTGAAGGAGGATCTGTTCTCTGAAAAAGGATTTTCTCCTCTGTTCATCTGCACAGGTCAACTTGAGTAACAACATTCACAACCTGTAAGACCGACATCACTAAATTGAGAGCCAGTGCCGGTTTTCCAGTAAGTGAACCAAGTAAATACATCAAACCAACCTGCACTGGCTCATTGGTTCAGCAGGGAACTGTGCAGCAGTCAGAGACATCGGTGTCATGTTTTAACAGCACGTTGGTGCTTAACACCAGCACCTCCAGCAAACCATGAAGACTAAAACCAAAGGAAAGAAGCAAAGGCAAACTGCTGACAAAGAAGGGTTTTCCGAGGAGCCGGCAATGAGAAAAAAAGAACTGGTGAAATGTTTGCGACGCAGAGAAAGGAGGAATGGGCCAAACAAGGAGAGCAGCAAGATGACTGCAGCCAGAGCCAAGAGCCCTTGGAGCACCAAGGACAGGCACCTGAGGAGGCTGGAGAGCAACGAGCGGGAGAGGCAGAGAATGCACAAGCTCAACAACGCGTTCCAGGCCCTGCGCGAGGTGATCCCTCACGTGAGGGCTGAGAACAAACTGTCCAAAATAGAGACCCTCACACTGGCCAAAAACTACATCAAATCCTTGACCTCCATTATACTCAATATGTCCAATGGACACTTTCCAGCAGCAGAAGGGGTGGGAGGAACCTGGGGGTCCAAATTGTACCAACATTATCAACAGCAACATGGGGAGGATGACCATGAGGAACATCTACAGAAATGTTCCATGTAGATTCATAGCTTCAGCCTAAGAAAGCTTTGCAGATGTTTACATCAACAAGTATTTTAGAAGTTTTTATGCTTTGCAAGGTTCCAAAATTATCAGAGCAGATCCCTAAAAGATAAATATCAAGATAAATACTTCGATTTAGTGACTGATTTCCCATAGGGTCACTTCAGCCATCAGTTTTCATTTCCTCTGTGGCTGGGAGATCACAGCAGGCACTGCAAGGTTTCCAGACCATCCAGCCTCATGAAGACTTTCTTTAGTGAGTGTCTGGCTATCCTTGCAATACAAATAATAAATAAGGGACAAATGGCTTATTTTTGCCAAAATAATGATAAAAATGCTTTGGGATAGTATTAAGTTAGACATGGTTTAGCCAATTTAAATTATTTGCTAACGAAGCCTGTGATGTGATCGTGTTCTTTTGGGGTTAGTGTTAAATTCTGGTCCTATAAACCAATAAATGCAGAAACTCTTCAAAAAGGAAAATGAGCTTTTTTTTTTTCACCCCTCCTCCCCCCATTTCCCCCCTTACAGTAGAATGTTTGATGTCCCTGAGGAACCCTCATTTCCTCTTGGATTCTCACGCCTGAAGCCTGAGGGGCCTCAGCTGGAGCTGCGGTGCCCGTGGGGTCCCCGTGGGGTCCCCGTGGCCCAGCTCATCCTCCCCACCCCCCAGGAGCTGCTCCAGGCTGGGACAGCAAATTTGGCATCTCATGCAGGACTGGGATTGACAAACTTTGGGGTGTGGCCCTTCTTCCTGCAAAGTGGGGCTGTCCAAGGAGAAGCAGTGGCTGAGGAAGGATTTCTTGGCTCCATCCAGGCTGTGTGCTCTGTGCAGGTTGGGTGTTATTTGCTCTGCTCCAGCACAGCTTGAGGATTCCATCTGGACTACAAGGTGAGGTTTCCTGGGCTGGCTGATCAGGGATGTGAATTATTTTCCCCACCATAGCAATCCACAGCTGTGATGTAGAACAACACAGTGGTTTGTATGTGTGGTTGCCTTACTGGAGAAATTCTTTGGATCCTGCCTCAACCTGGCATTTTCTTAATTTTTGAACTGTTTTCACACTAAAATGGATGTGATTAAGGCCTTCTCAAACTCAGGTGTTGCTGAGTCACAGGTTTGAGTTGCCATCACAGTGCTGGATCTTACTCCACTCAGCAGCTGCCCTGTGTTGATAAATTAGCCCTTATTGTATTTCTGTGTTGTCTGATTGTAATGGGAGAAATCAGTGACTGCAAGGCCTCTTCTTTCTGTTGTTCCACTCAGCATCTCTCCAGGTAAGAGGTGTGGGATGTTCTCTGGTCATTTCTGGAGTGCTGTGCTCTTGGAGATGCCAAAAGGGATTTTTTTTAAGAAGCATTTTTTTTTTCTGATAAATTACTTTTATTTTTCAAAATCGCTTTAATTTAAAGTCACTTTTCCTTATTTTAACTAGCCACAACAATGACATCATATTTTCAATTAAATAATTTTCTAAATAATCGTTTTAGAAGGCAAATACTTAGTACTCAAACATAACCAACTTATAATTTATCTTTTTTTTTTTCCACTTAAACCCAGCTATTTACAGTAAAGTAAGTAAAACTTGGCAATGTAGGGAAAAATGCAAAGGTACATTATCAAGCTTCTTGTGTGCAATCAGGTTGATTGTTGGGATATGTAAACACCGACTAGTAAAAGGAAAAATCTTTTTGATACAATGCAGGGAAAATACAATCCTAATAATTCTCTAAAAATACATATAATAAAGTTATTTATTTGGACAAGATACTGTGCAAGTTATGCAAAACCTATAATGGTAATTAATGCAGACATGTTATTTATGATTCTCCCACAAGGTAGGTATAAATCCAAAATCTCTACTCACATACTGGAAAGATCAACAGGTTCTTTTGAAACAGTTAAGCATCTTCAGTCTTCATTCACATTTGGACTTGGAAACAGTGCCTTCCTTGGCATTAAATACCAAATATATTCCTTAAATACGTGCAAACATAAGTTTTACTTCTACAAATACAGTACTGAGACCACACCAAACTGCTCATCATATAAAAATAACTCCATATACAGTCACACACACAGAGGAAAAATGAATGTAAACTGTCCAATTATTAGAAGTAACTCAGGGAAAAAAAGCTTTTTTTGAGAATAGAAAGTGGTTTCTTGTTGGAAAAAGGGGTGAATAAATAACTTACTATAAACAAAGAGCTGAGCTTCATTCTGAACCCCCCTCAGTGTTACACTGGCAAACTCCACTGAGAGCAGTAAAGTGCTTTTGCAGTGTAAAGTCAGAATTTAAGACCTTCTCTTGAGTTTGACACCATGAGAGCATAATTTGCAGTGATCTGGAACACAGCCTAACTCCTGGAGTGTCTGGTGCCTCCCAGCCCCTTTAGGGAGGCATCTGTACACCCCAAGCATCACACTTCCAGTTAAGATGAAGCCAAAAAATAATTTACCCCCCTTTGGAGTGACAGTCTAGAACAGATGTCAGTGCTGAGTCAGACTGAGCAGGACTGTGCTCCCTCCACAGTCTGGCTGCAAGCAGTGGGTCCACTTTTTGAGTGAGACATTGCTCACTGTGAGCAAAGGCAGCACAAACTGCCCCTTCCTGGTACCTGCCCCCTGAGCTGAGTTGTTCAGGATTGATTTCACTGATGGGAGCAGGATCCAAGCTCTGCTCTCACCCAGGGAGCACCCAGAGCTCTGCAGGTACAAACCAGGAGCAGGGATGTTTGCCTTCATTCAGATCAATCCAACACCATCTGTGCTCAAACAGAATGAATCTGAAGAACAATGTGTGAAGATGAGAGAAATGTAGGGAACTGTAGTATTTAAAAAAGAAAAGAAGTCAATGTAGTGTTCATCTGCAGATATTCACATTTGTATGGGGTGTAGCAGCTATGGTAAAGGGTTAGAAATACATTGTGGTTACAAGAAACCTTGCCTGCTTTGACAAAACTATGGACTCCATCAAGTCACACATTACACATGATGTAATAGAAGAATTCAGTACTTAAAATACCCCATTGCAAAGTGCAGTTCAGCCAAAGCCATCAGTAGCACAGGAAGGTCATGTGTTTCTCTCCAAGCAATAGACACTTGGCTTCTTTTCCACTTATACTCACTGCTGCTTGTTTGCAACATGTAGGTGGTGACAGCTTAACAATTAACAGCATTTCTGTCCAATTCTTGGCCTTCACTGACCATCAGAGGGGTTTTAGAGTGTTCTGGTTTCCCTTTACTCTCCTCATCTTCTAAACCCTTTGACCCTGCGTGGTTTTCCTCGGAGGTGTCGTGAGCAGCGGCCCGAGATGCTTCTGTTGCGTTCCCTCTGACTGTGATGTGCTCCCACCCACCCTGGAAAACAAGGAGCCAGAAATTCAGGAGAAACATCACCCTGCAAGTGCAATACCTGATGTGATGCTGTGTGTGCACTGGTTTTGTTCTATTTATTCAGGAGGAATCAGAGAAAAGGCTCCTTGCAAAATGAAACAAAACACACCAGACCTCCCTGGCAGGGAGCTCCAGAGGTGCTAAACCTGAGGATTATGTTTATTACAAGGAATTGAGATTAGTAGGGTCAGGTGTTTATAGCAGAACCACTGCAGGTTTTCCACCAACTTAAAAGGGGGCAAAACCTTGAAACAGCCTTTCTCAAAACCTTGAGAATAATTCAGGGTACAGCAATGAGGAATAATTGCGTGCACACCAGGAAGAAACCCACTTTTTCCTTTTAAATGGCCCTTACTCTACTAGTTTTTCCATTATAACTTTTGAATTCCCTATTTAAAATGAACACTCATCAAATGCAAATAAACAACTTCCCAGCTGTAACTGCACAGCCCATTATATTGACTTAAAAAAGGAGTCTGACTGAAGACCCAAGGTCAGTCTCCTGCAAGGTTCATGTGAGCTTTCCAGCACTCACCAGCTGGGCAGGAGGGCACTTTCCTTCCTCTGGGTGCCCGAGGACATGTGGATGTACAATTTGTAGGCAGGATCCTGCCCCCAGCACTTACCCCAATGCCATAATCCCAGGAGAGGCCTTTGGGTTCCAGGGGCTGGACACCAATCCGATGGCAGACTGTCCCGCAGCTCAGACTGTGACTTCCCTGCACTTTGTCAGCAATCACCCAGACCTCAAGCAAGCAAAGACAGGCAATAAAATGTGCTGCTCTTCCCAGATGTCAAAGCTCTGTTTGACCACTTCCACAAATCAGTCTTGAGCTTCATGAGGCCCAAACTGCTCTAATTTAAGCAGAGAGACACCCAAGCTATAGAGCGGTGTTCTAATTAAAACATGGCCAGATAAGACTTGGCAGGAAATATATGTATAATAATATATAAATATTATATATTTATAGTATAATATATAAATATAAAAGTATTTAAAATATATTAAGATATATAAATATATGAATATATAAATATATTAATAGTCTTGTTAAAAAAAAATAAATTCATGAGGCTTTCTGCAGCAAAGGGCCAGAGCACCATTCCACTGGTACAACTTTTTGTCTTGCTCTCAGAATCCCAGCATTTAGACCAACACTTTGTGCAACAAAGCTAAACAAAAGTAATTCTAAAGAACACTTCATTACTAAAGTCTGTTATGCATCATTTTTAATCAACTAATGAGATCCACACCTGGTCCAGGGGCCCCACAGACATTTTGCGGATGTTGTTTGACACGTGATCCCAAGTGGATCCCTGGGGGTAGCTCGGTGTGATTCCCTGGCGGTACCAAAGGTTGCCTGGAAAACAAACAGTGCTGGTTACAGCTCAGGGGGCTGTTTGTTTGGAGTGCTGCAAACAACACAACAGATCAGCTGGCAATTCTTCCTGTGTCCCAGGGAAATGCATCGTGGCTTTGGCTCATGTGTGCCAGGGACGGACAATGAGCTTCCTACTTTGGATTATAAAAACAGCAAATACTGTTTTGTAAAATTTCCTGGGGAAAAATGTCCACACAAGGAACACTAGAAAACAAAATCAAACAAGATGAAGGTCTCTAAATCTGGTGTTAGAGGCTTGTTTCTTTTACAAAAGGTACTTCATGTTTTATCTTGCAATGATGGGGTTATTTCCAGGTTTTGCAGCAGGTAAATATTCCTCTTCAGTTTTGTACATTTGGGGTTCCAGGCAAAATCCTGCCATGCAATTTTCATCTGTGTCTTTTCCCCCTGAACAGCACAGATGTTGGGTTGTTATTACACTCTCAGTTCTAACAGACACCAAGTACTCCAGTGCACTGCCACTACAAATCTTTCATTACAGAATATTCCTCCTCTTGGAGCACCACCAGTGATCATCTGTCCAGCTCCAACTTAGCCTCTCCTTTTTAAATCAGTCCAGTGTATACTGATGCATTTTTTTAACTGATAATTTTTTTAAATCCTTACCATTTGTATCCAAGACAAACACAGATGTTCG